CAGAGATGAAATATCAAAGAGTGGAATTAAAAAGTAACAAACACTAGGGTTTCGGAATCCACCCTAAACAATTCTACCCAAGTTCATGAATACTCAAGTGATGAACTCTAAATGTGTTGATGAAGAGGTTCGCAATCAAGACCATGGGTCGTGGCTCAAGACGCATTGATTCTCTCTAATATACGTAAAGTGCATGGTTCGTGCTACAATACTTGTGCCCTCCCCATAACTGAACCTAGGTATGGTTCGTACTTTGATTCAATTACAAGGAGAACCCATTAAGTTCAACCTAAGCCCTAGCTATAGAGTTTAGTTGCTCATACTTATTTCAAATACAAACTCAAAATGAAATTAGAAAGAGTTTACAGATTTTCAGAAAATGATGAAAGCTTCAAGATTATCAATGGTGGAAGTCTTCTTCTCCACTTTTCTTGGCTGCACCTTGGCTTTCTCCAAGCTCCAAACTCTCCAAAATCTGCTCTCCATCTGTAGAATTCAGAATTGAATTGCTTTCCACGTTCAAAGGCTCCCTCCATATCTGATTGCCAATTGCTTTTGCTCCTTTTCCCATCTTTTCCTACTCACACTTTTAATATAAAACTCATTCTTTCTCTAAAGCTTTTGCCCATTGTCCCCTTGCCATTATGAAGCATTGACTCACAAAGATGCCAAATACTTCAGAAAATATCTCTTTTACAAAGGTAATTCCTTGTTACCAAGAGTTATGGTAACAAGAAATTAAGATGACACAAAGGAGGTAAAAGCTGGCCAAATCCGGATTTCCAGAGCTGTGGTAACATGCTGGATTGGTTGGATAGGCAATACTTGTCCAATGGAGCTCAAATTTGGATATGTTGTAGTTAACATCCATTGGAACAAATCTCATGAAGATCATGACCTCATCCGAGCACCAGAGCATGTTGATCCCAGGCCAAGAAGTTCACCTACGAAAATGAACAAAAACAGAATTTATAACTAATAATGCACTTTTAGCTCATTTTCATTCCAACCAAGGTAAAATCTAAGAAAACACAAAAAGGAAGTAAAAAGCTATAAAATGTCAAGAACTAACTCAAAATAGTGGGTGAATAACATGAAAAATTATGTATAAAAAATGAACCGAACAGGGATCGCTTTTGCATCCTATGTTGATGTTCTGAATGCACTGTTTTGTCATGGCTTCTGTTTTACATATTTACATATATCAAGTTAATTAAGTGCTCTCAAAAGCTCCAATGATGTTTCTTTCTTTAGGGGAGGCTTCATCCTTGATGAAGCCACACCTGGAGAATTCATTGGTGGGTCAAAGACTGCCATGTAATGCCAGGAACCAAGCCAAAAAAAAAGAAAGTAGAAACTCAGAGAGAATGAGAGGGGAAATTGACTCTTTCCAACTAACAGGAACAAGACATTTTCATTAAAGACTACCAATAGATTGATAGTGTTCTTATGGTCAACAAGGACAAGAATTCCAGGGCTGCTCACCTTGAGTACACCTGATGAAGCAGTGAGGGGTGTGTTTCTTTTAGTCTGCACTATATATGGAGAGTTTGACTCTAATTAGAAGATAATTGTATTAATTTGATAAAGTTTTCTGTAACTGTCTCTCACCTTAAAAAATCTCACAATTAGCAGCATTGGAAACTTGATTAGAAAGTAGAAACCCTACCGTATTTAGTTTAAGTTGAGTAGCTGGGAAGACAATTAGTAAGCTATCAATACTAAAGTTGAATAGTGGGGAGGCAAATTACTAAAGTTTCAAGGACAGATAAATAGGATGAATTTCTCATAAGGGAATGACATGATTTGAATTCCCACTATAAGTGTATTGCAAGTACCCTTCTGCTCGGGAAAGATAGTTAACAAAGGGAGGATACACTGGAAGCAAAACATAAGCTTTCTAGTTGTTGGGTTTGCAAAGAAGGATGCCGTAGAAATTTTGAAATTATGTGGCATGCTTCCATTAGTTTGTACTTTTTTGTTATTAATTTGCTATTGTCAACATATCCAAAGCAGATATTGAAAAAATTGAAATTTCACAGTAAATCAATCTGAGAGTTCAATTATATCTTCTTCTTTTTTTTCGTGCGAACGTCTACCTTGGATCTACCTCATTCTCTCGAGTGCTACATGTGTATTTTACCGAGTCTTTAAGATGTGTACGGAAAACGGAAGTATTATTGAAAAACATGTACATACACGTATAATACAAGTGTTAAACGGGAAAATTCTAAATTCTTTATACGAGTAATAACTCTAAAAATGTAAAAAATCAAAAGGAGACTATAGAGACTCGAGTAATGGCCTAATAGTAATGGATAATGCTCTAAACGAAAATACGGGAATTTTTTTTATTTATTTATTTTATAAAAAGGGACCCCAATATAGCCGAGCGGCTATACTCTTTAAATATATTACATTTAAACGTCTAGCCATGCGGCCATACTATTTATTTTTTAAAATGAAGAAAAAAAATTGTATAGCCGTGCGGCTGTACTATTTATTAAATTAAATTGATTAAAAAAAGGACCCGCATAATATAGCACCTAGTCAGCCGATTTTTTTTAATTATTTTTTAGCCGCCATAGCCGCAGCACAGTAATACTCCGTGCGAAGGTCGCGGCTGCTTGCTTTCTAAGGTAAGGTACGAACTAGTGTTGGTAAGTGAACGAACTTGTGAATTCTCGCTAAGACGTGTACGAAAAAGTGAAGTATTATTGAAAAATACGTACATATGTGTATAATACGAGTATTAAACGGGAAAATGCTAAATTCTTTATACGAGTAATAACTCAGGAAAGTTAAAAAATGAAAAGGGGGCAATAGAGACTCGGGTAATGGCCTAATAGAAATGGATAATGTTCTAAACTAATCTTATCGATAAACGAAAATAAGGGAAAAAAATTATATAAAAAAAAAATAATAAATAATAAAAAAAAGAGGATCCCAATATATATTTAAAGAGTGTAGCCGATCAGCTATACTATTTATGAAAAAAAAAAAATTTAAAGGGACCACAGTATAACCGGCCAGCTAGCCATGCTCTTTCAAAATATTTAAACCGCGCGGCTATACTATTTATTTTTTTAGAAAAAGAGGACTCGCCGTGCCCCTAGGAACTGATTCTTGTTTTGTATGCATGCCGTAATTTTGAACTGATACTCGTTTCTTTTGCTTGATCATTTAAGCTTATGTGTAACTTACACAAAGTTTAAGTCATATTTCTTCATGTAGTGTTGTTAATATGTGTTGCATCACATTCCTTTGTTGTTTTCTTGACTTTGAAGTTGCCATCAAGAGGCTTTTCACGCTTTCAAGGAATTTGTGACATAACAATTTCAAAGTCTTTGCATTCTATCAAAAGTTTTTCTCATTGGATCAGCTTTTAACTTGTAACTTTCTTGGTTGACTTGTCTGACATAAGATCGAAGTTCTTAGTTATGATGACAATATGGAGCTGTGCTTCTTTCGGGCATGAGTTCGGAAGCCTTTTATCCAGCTATTGATGATGGTTTCTATACTATGATTGGAGAAGGATCAAGAGCAGGTTACAACATTAATGTCCCCAGGGAAAATGTGTGGGGATGCAGATAGTGGCGGATCCAGGATTGTTACCCTAAGGGGTCTTAGTGTAAAAGTTCCGATATTTTTTGAAAGATGAAAATAACACTAAAAGATAATTTTCTATTACTTTCCTCTTATCGTTCCATAATTCTACACATGAATTAATCAAACCAAACAATCAACCCTTTTTTTTTTAAAGAAACAAATTTTATTAAGACAAATGAACAAACAAGAAGTCCATCACAAAATTAATCATAAACCCTAAATTCCAACAAATCAAATAATCATATATAGTCATCCAATCCAATAAATCATCCACACACAAAATCATCAATATTCATCCATTCCAATAAATCATTATATTAGGCATTATCATCAAACAAAATAATGTAACACAGAGGTTTAAGTATACCAAGAACAATAAATTTATAAAATCAGAGATGGAGGGGGAAAATAATAAAATTTTCAGCCATGTTGAGGGCTTGGGGGGGAGATTTAGTTGGGAACTTAGGGTAGAGAATAATAGAATTTGGGATTTTAGGAGTCCATTTGAGTGTTTGAGTTGAATGGAGCATAGACATGATATTTTATTACATTTATTTAAGTATTTTTATGTTTTTCATAAAACTTTGTCTCATGAAAGCCCAATGAAATGGGAAATACAAAGGGTTGTTGGGCCTCTGTATATTAAACGTTGGTAAAGTTGTATAATTGAAAGCAATGGGTTTGGACATTTGGGGAAGTTGCTGGCCAGGCCATTTAAAAAAAAAACATTCCTGGGTCAAAACGACGTCGTTTTGCCCAGGATGTTTTGAAAAATCAGCAGCTTCTTCTTCCTCGCACAGCTCCTTTCTTCCTCAGGAAAAACATCAAGCACCTGGTGTGCAACTCCAAGGGGTCTCTCCCCCAGCTCCAAGGGACCTCTAAGCCTATTTCCATGGCTTCCAAGAGGTCGTGCGACCCCACTGACCCCACTGTGGCTCCGCCATTGGATGCAGATTATTTTGCAGTTTGGGACCATATTTTGGTTCCTGGAATTGCAGCCAATAACACACCCTCCCTTCCCTGAAAAAAAGAAAAAGAAAAAAAAGGGCAATTCCAGAAAAACATGCTCTCCAAAACCAAATAATTTATGCATAAAACTACACAGAAACTAAAGCATACTTCTCATAAATAAGAACACCTACAATATTTACCTTCAGAAAGTAAGATGTCAGCAATTTCATATTAACTGATTATGTACTATCATCTTCAAATATCAGCATATATTTCTATCATTTGGAATAATGAGGTCATCATATTTTGTTTGGCCTGGGTGATCATTATAGTTTATAATCGTCATAAACTACCATTTTCTTATAGGATAAACTACCATTTGCAAACCAGAGATCTATAACAAATATCCAAAAAGCAATTCATGCACAAGAACCAATTGATCATCATATAAATTCCCAAAGAAGAAAAGGCTTGTAACTCACAGGTTAATTAGCTTAGATGGTGCGGGACGTAATACAGTTAATGCCTCTTTCCACTGCCACTGGCGTTCAGATAACGAAAGAAGACGCTGCAAAATTGACGACTGCGATTCCCACTCTTCAAATGTTTAGCAATTGACGCTCTCCACTCCAATGCTTGTCTTCCACCCCTACTTACGCCATCACTTAGAGCATGATCTAGTTCAGTTATAAACTTATAGTTGAAGGAGGACAGTGATGTAATATATCTAGTAGTTTCCCCGTGAAAGATACAACTAATTTGTTTCCCTCTTCACGTGTTAGATCAGTTTGCTCTGTAGCACATGTGTAACGTGATTCAGAATAGCTCCATGGTGAGGCACAACGAGCCAAATTGAGAGAAAGATCATCCATATGTAAAAGCAAACTTATGACATTCGCCATCATGATCTGCATCATTACAGAAGCATTATAAAATAATTACAATGAAGAACAGGAAAAAAGATGCAGCAAACTAATAAAACTGATGACATCACAAACAAATTGAGAGCATTTAAATTTCAAAGGAAAACATGAAACTTCAAAGTAAAATTGAACAAAATACCAAAATGCAATCCATTTAGCAGTTGCTAATTCTCTAGCATAAGAACATGAATGATAAATAATTTGTTTTGCATGCATTTTTTGGTGACTATATTTTACACAAAACAACTTTCAAAGACAACAGGCAACAGATTTGCCCGAGGAAACATGTTAGACATGTAATTGCAAGTTGAACTTATCTGGCATAAACATGAGAAAATAACAGTTTTGACAACCACAAAAAGGAGGTACGATTGAAAATGTTAGGCTAAAAGAAAACCATATTCAGAATAGACTACCTTGCGAGGGATGTCATTGACAGCCTCCAAATGGTTCTGTAGATCTTTCAAATGGTCAAATGTAACTTGATGAAAACTTTTTCTTTCACTAGTCGTAGTCTTTTCCATCACTCCAACCGCAAGAACAGCTAAATCTAGAGCATACCACATGTGCATAAGTTCAATATCCGGCATCCTACCATATAATAAAATCGAACAGAGAAACGCAAAACCATCAACATGTGAAGAAAAGCATGTCAAATCCCAAAATGACAAAAATATGAAATAACATTGAGTGCAAAATTTGTTTGCATATCTAATTTAAGGGTTGGAGAAATCCATTTTCGGGATTGGGGCATAATTCTCCCTTGGATGCATAATGCATTGGCCTTCTTCCATTTCATTCCCCTCCACCTCCCCGCCCCCTGCACACACACGCGCACACACACACACCCAGACAACAAAAAAGACTCCCACAAACTTGCGAGTTACAACACAATATGACAGTATTATTATATTAACGTATCAAAACTAACAGAAATATTATAATAGCTTCTCTTGGGGCGTGTCTGTTAAAGCATTTCAAAGACTACTTTAGTATAACTCGTGTTGATTGGACAGAGTTTTGGGCTGAATGTAATCTGATTTCATATGTCATGTCATGATTATTGGTCTGATTTTGATGGTTTTCTACAAGATATCTTTGAAGACGAAAAGAACAAAGAAATAGTTTTCATTTCTCCGTTTTCTTTCTCGCCCATCTTTCTTGTAGGTTTTCTTTCTCTGTTTTGAATAAGATACAGTTTTCCTTGTCAAAACAACAAAGAAATAGACCAGAACAATATTATTTTGGGGATTTTGAGGACTTACTCGAAGTGGACTTTGATTTCCAGTACGAAATTCTCAACAAAAGGCTCTAACAGGTGATCTTCGCATGCTATTTGTTCTTTAGCAAACAACATCAACGACAATTTTCAATTGCATGCTTGACCAGAATAGGAAAGATCAAGCCGATAACACAAAGAATCACAAGGAAATTTTCAAAAAATTGGGCTAGGCGGCGCCTAGGCGCTAAGAGCCCGCCCGGGCGGCTGTGTGTAATATCAAATTAGTTTCTTTAGGTTTTTTTATTTTCTTTTTTGTAATTACACAATATCTTTGCTTTATTTTAATTACTTTTATTAGTAATTATGTTTTAATTATTATTTCTTTAGTGAACAATTAGTATTAAATCTATTAATTAAATTCATAAATTATATTACTTAATAAATATTAATTATTATGTTGTAATATTTTTCAGACTTTAATTTTCATAGGGAATTTTTTTTTTTTTGGAATAGGTAATTAATTAATATTTTTAATTGAATAATATCTTAGTCTTATTTAATTAATATAATTACTAATTAGCTTTTAGTTATTATTTGTTTCATAAATTACTTATCAAATAGTAATTAATTTTTATGAATTATTTTGTGCTCCCAAAAACCAAGAAAGTGGTTGCAACATAGTAAGTATATTTCACAAAAGAACCAATACATACATATAGTATACTTGATTTGCTTATGAACTTAGTTCTTGACTGGTTTGTAGTGGTTACATGTCCTCATAATACAAAATTGATGGGTTCTACTCGCTTGCCGCACGGCTATACTATTCTAAAAGGTCTATCTATACTATTTAATATATAAATTAAAAAAAGAAAAGAGGACCCTCCAAGTTTCATTAGCTTGTACTTTATAGATATTAATTTGCTAGTTTCAACATATCCAAAGTAGATATTAATAAGTCACTATACAATATTTTAGTATAATTTTTATAACATCTATTATTCGTATTTAATAATATGTGAGAATTATTTGTATAATACGTGAACTTTGTGAGAATTACTAAAAATTTTGTAAAAAAATATGTGTATTAAGCATTAGAAATACGTATGTACATGTACAATACGACTATTGTACGTTGACTTTTTTAAAAATAGTAGATGTGTGTAGAATACGAATGTATTATTGAAAAATACGTACATACATACGTATATATATGTATAAGACTATATTTTAAAGAAACTAATTTCATATTTTTTCTTTAAAAAA